TGTATATGTATATGTATATGTATATGTATATGTATATGTATATGTATATGTACATGTACATGTACGTACACACACACACACACACACATTTGTTAAAGACCTAAACCCTTAATTCCTCATAGAAATCCATAAATTTACCATAAATGATGCCAAGCAGTTTGAGAGTATGATTGCCAAGTAAAGAGAGGGTTTTTTAGTTTGTTTCAGTATAAAAATAATGAACATTTTAACGTAAGTTTTCTTTCTTTTCAGACTATAAAACATATGGAATCACTGTGTACTCAGACAATGAACGTGTCACAGCAAGAGAATTTGAAGGTATAGTACATCTATTTTACACACACACAAATGTGTGTGTGTGTGTATGTGTGTGTGTGCAATATATATAATGTTTACATTATATTGAAAGCACAGAAAAGCAGAAACAAGGTTAAGAATCAGGAAGGCTCGTGTCATTAAAGTATAGTTGGTTGTAGAAACATAAAATATCCATCCAGAACCATTTAGTTACTTGACTAATATACTTATTTCAAATGTTCTTTAGCTTTTCTCATAAGTGATCCAGCTAAACTCAAAAATGTATTATGTCATATATATTTAAAAGAAGAAAATTAAAAATATAACTAAATCTAGTTGAAAGCATTCATAGCACTAACCTTGGATATATCTTTTTAATTATTATTCACAGCTATTATCAGTATGTAAATTATGTTACTGCTTGTTCAAATCTTTCTAAAACAATGAAAACAAATGTATTCACAGAATTATATTATACATAATCCCATACACTCCAGTGGGTGGGTTGATATTCGGGGAAGTCACTTGCAACTTCCATTCCATGCTTTTTCTCAATTCCACTGAACCTGTTTCTTTTACCTTTGGGAATTTAATATTCATTTGTTCACACTACAAAATTTAGATAGGAATATGTTTCCTGAACTGATTTTTTTGATGTTCCATCCTAGTTTTGTGTGATATTCATGTTTTAGTTTGATTTTTAAGTCTGCCATTATTGGCTCTTCTAATTCACAGGTAGCAAAAGTTCTGCATTCATGAAAATTTCTCTTTCACTGATATATGGGAGGCTATCTTCTCAGTTCTTTAAAGTTTGCCTTTACCTCCATGGATATAGAGGTTTTACAAATCTTTTCTACTTAGGCTTCAAGTTATCTGATCTTACAATAAACCTACATTTTTACTAGTGTCTTTCTCCTTCAGGAACATGGACAGATTTCTGACATTTGAAAATTTGTTTACACCAAATTTTGTGAATTTGCTTAATTTGGGATTACTGCTATAATATATGTGATATATTTTGACATATAACTTCTTAATAAGCATCTAACATTTCTTGCACATGTGTTCAAGATTGCTTATAGTATTGTGGACTGCCAAGAAGGATTAGTAGAAATCATTTATATAATTATCCCTTCCCATTCCATTTCACCTTGATGAATTGCTATTAAAACAAAGAATAAACTAGCATGTTGCAACTTTTTGTGGATCCATTTCTGCCTTTAAAAAAATCTCTTTATGATCCATTTCTGCCTTTAAAAAACATTTTGCCATTTGATAAATATTTCATAAAATTTCATACATCAGGTTATTTTTTTTCTTTCAGATCCAAGACAGGAGCAATATTGGCTTCTCTGCAAGTGTTCTGTTGAAGTCCTGTCTTTCTAATACAAGTCCCTATCTTTGCCTTTGTCTATACTCATCGTGTTTGCTGTGGGCTTTTGATTAATAAATTACATTTTTGACATACATTCCATCTTGTTACATGAGAGGTCAAGCAGGAATACTTTGAAAAGGAATATGTAAATGAAGGATTTATATGGAGCTTCAATTTGTGTCTGCAGAACAATGGAATAAATGGAAGTTTGGACAATGCATACTTTAAAAAATATTTCAAGTATATTTTCATTAATTTGCGAAACCTTAGCATTTTAAAAGCTTGGACCTTGAACCACTTTATTATTTTATATTTAAATAGTCTGTTTTCTCAAAAATGTCTCTATCTTTTCTTCTTGAAATGTTTGTTGTGAATTCTCCATTCCAAAATCCACTTTTTAAAATGTTTATTTTGCTTTTTTATCACTGTGTACTTCAGAAACATTTTTGCTTGCTTATTAATATTATATAATACCTCTCAATTTTTATTAAATTGTTTAATGTCCCTTATTTTATTTTAAGAAATACCAATGAGAAATTCAATTTGAAAACACTTCTTTTTTTTTGAGAAGATATGTGAAAAAATTAAGTGAGATTTTTTCCTCATGTCATGTAAAATGATAGATTTTATATTCTCTGTTTCAGCAGTCCTCATTAAAATTCATGCACACACTACAATCATTTTTAAAAAAATCCAAAGGAATAGGAAAAAAGAACATTATGAAAGCAAAAATGCTTTGATTAATAACCTTTATTCCTGAAAGAATAAAAATACTCTCACCTCCTGATAACTAAATTTCAGGAAAAGCACCGCCTAGCCATTTCCACTACTTGGCTCTAGAAGTCTGCTATAGTAACATTGTTTATATTTTCTAAGACTATAACACCTCATCAGTACATCTTGCTTTAAAACAGTGCCTTTTGAAAACATTTGAAAGAGTGTTCTTGAAAAATGTGAGCATGGGTATTCCTAGTGATCTAAAGTTCAGAATTCTAATAAATATTGAAAATGAGCATTATGCAAGATGAAAAATTTGATTTCCCGCGTAGCCAGAGTTTTTCCCACATGTTGCATCGTAAACCCCATGTTAGTATACTTCAGATGCAATGGACAAAATTTGTTCCATTCCACCATTTTATAGTATGTATGCATAAAATAATTTTTAAATTTGAGTCTTATACATTAATGGATGCCATTCCCTACTTTGAGTTAAAGTGAGGGTTTGCTTAACCTTTTGAGATTTATTCTTACCTTGTTCACCATTATGTGTTATCCTTGGAAGTTGACAACTAAAAGGTCTGACAAATGTATCAATTTAAAACAAGATCTAAGAAAGAATGCACCCACCATTTATAATTGACTTACATCAAATTACATGGTGTTTCAGGCATTATGAGAATGAAGGTATCTTACATTCAGATAACTAATCTCTGTTCAAAATACAGTTTGTGATATGTCATTCAGGATCATCTTATTGAAATCAGTTTTCATGTTATGCTGGTTGTTTGCATTGTATGATTTTAATGTAAGCGAAAAAGAAAAAAAACAATCATCTTTTTTTCCTCTTCCCTGTAGGGGTGTATCTGAGTTGTAAGCACAATGTAAAGAAGGAAATTGGTGCAAGGGTTGAATGGAAAATGATTAAAGGCTCCACTCTCTCATTTGTCTACTTGAGAGGTGCCTTTGTAGGTAAGCAAATATTTTGTGGCTGTTTATGCATTAATATGCTGTTTGTAGCACATTAATGACCCCAAATGTAGGATCAGTTAGAGGTCAACTATAGGTTATTGGTATATTTTATGTTTTATATTTTATCACCCTTCCAAGATTTTCAAGGAAATACATTCTTTCCCCATTTTATCCTAATTACATCCTGTGAGAGATGTTGGGCTGAAAGATAACCATTGGTCACTCAATAAATGATTTGTCTGTCTGTAAGAATTTGGCTGTCCTGGGCTGAGCGTGGATTTTAGCAACTATTCTGATCAAACTGTCACCATGATTATTTGGAGAAATGGCTGCTGACTAACGTGAGCTTAACCAGATATAACCTTTTTTATTTGCATGCTTCCAGGGGCTTAGAGGAATACACAGAAAAGATAAGTATGTGGTTTACATATGTGAAGACAACTTCAGTGCAATTAAAGCTTGGCTAGGATGCTCTAACACTATTTTTGAGGGTCCTGATTTAAGCAAATTTCTCTTGGGAAGGGGCTTTTCTAGAGTGGGGAAAATGCAAAGGTTTTGGTAATTATGGCAGAAATACATGTCTGGATACATTGGAGAAAGATTATGATGTAATATTTACCCTAAGAGGATTTTGGTGAAAATATAAAATGTAGTCCTGATCAGTGGTGGATTCCTACCGGTTCAAACCGGTTCAGCTGAATCGGTAATGGTTTGGTGGCCTGGGTCGCCACCCCCCCAAACCAATTCTCCAGGCAGCGCCATAAGCACCACTATCTTGTTTTTCGCTTCTACACATGTGCAGAATAATTTTTATTGCACTGCACAAGTGCACAAAGCACCCACGAGCGAACTGGCAGTAGTGACTGCCAGAACCCACCCCTGGACCTGATCCTACTCTACCACCCTCCCCACCTCAACATAGAATATGGATTGAACAGACACTACCTTTATGGAAAGAACTGTGGACAGAGCCAAGGTGGCGCAGTGGTTAAATGCAGCACTGCAGGCTACTGCTAGATCAGCAGGTCAGCGGTTC